TGTTAAAGACAGTACATGTGAAGGGTACTACTGAGGCAAGCTTGTTTTACACACATTCACTAGATGCAGTTGTTAAACTCCTTTCACATGACTCACATCAGGGCTTCAATGCACCGCTTTGACCTCCACAAGAAAAGTGTTGCAGATAGCATCATGGGAGGACTATTTTATACAGTTGCTACATAGAAAGAGTGAAGGAAGTGCTTCCAGTAAACTAGAGGAAAGGAGGAAAAGTCCTTGCGATGGCTTTGATACAAGGCAGCAAGCACATTCCTTTTCTCTAAATGTCATGATATGCATTTGGCCTTGTGTTGTAAGACTTGGGGATCAGTCACTCTTCCGTCTTGTTTTGATAATCCAACTGGCACCACCCACAACATGCAAACTGTCTGGTAAATTGTGCTTTAAACTTTGACCTGTGCTGAGAGTGACACTGTAGCATGATGCTTTGTGCCATATAGTATATATATATATATATATATATATATATATAAAATGCTAAACAGAACAGTACTCTGGTCTCCCCATCTGACTTCAAACACATTTCAAGGAGAAGGCGATCACACTCAACACCAGGCACCAAATGCCTATGTGGCCCGGTGAATTACCCCCACACTTACATTACACTTGGTATCAAAACAATCTGCTCTTTATTTCCTAAACAATGGTCTACATTATGTGATTATGAAATGCATCATACTATTTTTACTATACTTTGGGTAAAACTGCACCAATTCTCCAGACCAGCAATAAACATGCTAATAGGCTGTAAATGGAGACGAAGAAAAATTTCTCCAGCTCAAAATTCACACCTTGTATTGGCCATTCCACCAAAGATTGGTCTGACTGGGGGACCACCAGAAGACCCCTACAAACTCACTGCAGAGAGTCTTCGTGAAACACACGCCCTCTGACCTTTTTGGCACTTTACTCACTAACCAACTTTGTTTGAATTACCCGTGGACCAACTCCTCCCAGAGGAGCCACAATGGACAACTCCAGCACGCTACGTTGAACCAAAGACTACAGAATACCCAAGACGTGTCACAGTTATAGTTTTGAATGGGGAAAAATGCAACGCTCAATATGACCGCTCTATCGAAGGAAGCCCCATCTTCTGAGTAAAAGAGCTAATCGATAATTGGTAAAGTCATCGCGGCACTGCAGCTGCCGTTAGAAGACCCGGTTGCTATAGAAACAGTCAGCATTCTGAGACGCACGCTTAGTACTGCACATGCGCACTGGATGCTATGGCCTGAAAACAAGCATTTTTATTTGAGAAAAAGAAACAACATTTATGAGACAGTTGTCAGATTTCATTGGTGATTTCAAATATACTATTTAATAATAAGCTTGGCAAACAGTTTTGGAGGATTTGATGTTTCACCATTCAAAGAGATAGGAGCTGCACTTGCATGCCCGAGAGGCGTTTCAAAGATGGCCGCCGAATGACATGACTTGTCTTAAAGGGACTTCGGTTGAACTCCTCCTTACCTGATTTTTCGGACTAACCAATGCAAGTAACCTTTCTAGTAACTGTTAGATGCACTGTAAGTTTAATCCCTTTTTTAAAAAGGTGATTTTGGTTTCTTGCAGGCTCTTAGGGTTGGGAATGTGTAAAGCTCGCCATTCTGTGTCTCTCTCTGTCTCTCTCTCTCTCTCTCTCACTCACTCACTTTTACCCTTTTGTAATCCTACATATATGCTTAGTTTAGCTGTGTTATACCTAGTCCCATTTATTAAACTTTTTCATATACACTCTTGATTGTCTCTGTGTTCGCTGCTCACGAATCAAGGTCACTTAAACGTTTGATTTTGTTACACTCTTGTGCTGTTTAGTATTAACTGTAAGAAAGCTATCCTTCTCGGCCAGGAGAATAATCTTTCTTTGATTTGATAAAAGATTGTACTATCAGACATATACAATATTATCATTATACATCGATTTTTAACAAGCAACATACAGGAAAAAACTCAAATATTGATCTGGTAACACTTTAATTTGGGGACCTGTTCTTACTATTAATATAATCAACTATCAATAAACTCCTAATTTGCTGCTTATTAATAGTAAGGTAGTTGTTAAGATTAGGTACGGGGTAGGATTAAGGGAGCTAACATATGGTCATGCAGAATAAGGCATTAATATGTGCTTTACAAGTACTAATAAACATCCAATAATATGCATGTTAATAGGCAACTATTTAAGAGTTAGAATTGGTCCCTAAACTAAAGAATTACTATTTCTTTAAAATAGTAAATGTTTTAACAGCAACAGATCTCAAAAGCATGAAATTGACATGTTTTTTCCTTGTCTGCTGCATTTGACAAGTGATCCGTCACATGACAAATGTTCCCGAAACAAACATGGCAGCCTCCGGGTCACGTACCTCAGAAGAGTCTGTTAACAACATAACATCTGCCTTTGAGACGAACAGAAATGTTAACAGTTTGTGGCTATTATAATTATATAAAAAGCAATTTAATGTAATTTATGAGTGAAAATTTCAGTGATGCATACATATCATAGTTAAGAATTTATGCAACATGAAATACTGTACCATATTTACCCTAAAATACAGTAAGGTTAACAGTGTATTATGTTGAGGGTTGCAGATGTTTCATATTGAGTATATACCATCACCTTCATTTCTCCTTGCATTAACATCTATTACATATTCAAAGCTTTACCTAAAAATATTACACATTGTGAAAAATTGTAAAAAGCATAGTCTTTGTCTAACGGCCTACAAGTGAGTACAGTGAGTACACTAAACCTTTATTTTTAAGAGTGCACAAGCTGTTGATTCCAAAAAGCAGCTTACAGTTTCTTATTGGTTGAGCTGTTTCCTTGTAAATATCGGAACACAGCAAACCATCAAACAGTGCCTTTTTTTTTTTTAAATACGCAAACACATAAAGCAGCTTTATGTTTAATTGAGCAGCTTCAATGATCACAAGTTTATTTTGCGTGTGTCTTTGGTATCCCTGGTAACATGTGGGTGTCTGTATGCATCTCTGGCTTTCATATGCATACACACAAAATCATGCCATACATGCACCCAGGCTGTTTCTCTGAAAGCACACCATAATACAAGCTCAACATTTGTGAGAACCATGTGGAAGTCATACGATATACTGAAAAGCCATTGTGAAATTGTATCACAATGGAAGACAGCTCTACCTCACTGCACTAAGCCGTTGATAAGCCAGCCAAAAGATTCAGAAAAACTGAATGCATCCATGAGCTCAATATACAATCACCCCTGTCGTCTGATCTCTTCAGGCTGCATCAACTTTTTAATCAGTTTGACCATTTCTATTTTGGACACTATATTGCTAAAATCCAGATTTCCAATTGTGAATCCCAATTTCAGCTCGTATCCACCTTGAAATGTCACAGTGAGGTTTCTATATGAAACTATAATCAAGGCTTATTTCAAGGTCAAGTATGAAATATCTTGTGCACCATCATTGTTAATGGCATCAGTGATTATCCATAATTACGGTCTCTTTTTCTATAGCATTAAAATGGTCTTAAAAAGCATTCTGCTGAATGAGAAAACACATTGTTTGAGCCTTTAAGTGGGATTTATGTAAACATATTACATTTGCAAAACATTTTGAAGGATTTGTAAAGTGAAGCTTCTCTTCGCTGCCCCACAGACACTCATTTCGCATTTGTTTATTTCATAATTGCTTGTGTAATGACTTGCTGTTCACTTATAGTGGCAGCGCAAACCTGAGTGCTCCTGTGGTGCAAAGGTGATGGAGCGATTAAAAATAAGAGCAGGATCAGAGAGAGGAGGAGAGAAGAAAAAAATCATAAGGGATTTGTTGTGCGGAAACTTTCAAAAACATTATTACACACATTTACCACAGTGCATTAGCTACACTCACATTCCTTATAATCAACTAGTCCAAAATAATGGCTGGTTTTGAATCTTTGATCATTGTTGATTCCTTCTATACATCTGAACTGTGTTCATAATTACTCAACTTTATTGCTTTGGAAAGATGTGCAGAATTACATTATTATGACGACACCGTGCTTAATGTGCATCTACTAACTAGAATATCTGCTGGTATTAATATTTCAGACATTTTAAAACTGAATTTACGCTCCACTAACATGACATTAATACAAAACTGCTGTTCCTCTTCAAACTTACAACTTGCAGTGTTTCTCTCTCACAAACACATTCAGTACACAGATGCATAAAACTTAAGGGTAACACTTTCTATGAAGACTGTATTTATAATACATTATAAGAGTATTCTTAAGGCATTATAATGAATGCATAATGTATCATAAAAAACCTTATAATATGTTGTATATCTCATAACAGTTTTAATGCATTATAATATTTGCTTATTAGTGGTTATAGCTTTTAAGAATATGATGATTTATAATACACAATGAACACAACGCATCCACTTAACTTACAATGGATAATATTTCCCATAGTTATAATGTATTATAAGTCCCATATCTTGCCATTGTTAACTTGTTACTTTACTTAAAGCAGGCAAAGACCACTTATAAATAATAACAACAACAACGACAATAACAATAAAAATAATAAATAAAAATAATATTTTTTCTTAAACAGCTGTAAGATCAGATATCTGATCAGATGAATGTGTTATATGGCACATTTTATTTTAACTATATTTATTGTAATATCAGTAAGATAGTAAGACACTGTACAGATCTTAAATAAATAATGTCAAGAAATGAGACTTATAAACCATTATAAATTATAGTGTATTAAACATGGCGTTTATTGCATTTTATAAATAATCATACTCATAAAAGTTCTAACCACAAATAAGTAAGTTTTATAATGTATTATAAAAAAATGTATTTGTTATGAGATGAAACAACATACTATACGTTTTTTTTTTTTTTTTTAATAATGCATTATGCATTCATTATAATGCCTTAAGAATACCCTTATTATGTTTTATAAATACAGGCTTCATAGAAAGTGTTACCAAATTAAGTTATTGTCATCTAGATTCGTAATGCATCTTGTTAATTTGAATATATTATTAATTCACTTAAAAAAATTATAAAACTGGAATGATTAGTCTGTAAATTATTCTTATTCTGAAAGCTCAGAAGAGTTATGAACATAATGTTAGAAATATCAAAACCATCACTAATTACGACACCATCAGTCCACCAAATTACAAGATCGCTCTTAAAATGTTTTTTTTTTTCTTTTCTTTTTTATATAAAAGAAACTTTTAACCTCTGTAGCTTTTAAACTTTATTCGGTTATTTCCAGGATGAGATCATTCCCTTCCAGGCTGCTGTCGGCATTGACGTGCACCTTGGATATGATGCCTGAGATTGGCGAGTTGACAACTGTCTCCATCTTCATGGCGCTGAGGACGCAGAGAGGCTGACCTTTCTCCACCTTCTGGCCTGGCTTCACCTTTACTTCCACCACTTTACCGGGCATGGGAGCTCCAACCTGTCCCCGCACGTCTTTCAAGGCTTTAGGGTGAAAGTGCATCTCCTGGTGGAGCAAAAAGCAGAATGAGATGATTACAGGGGAGACCAGAGGCAACGGAGACATTTTTCACATTTTCCCTCACAACTCTTTTCAAACTGCTTGGCATCCTCTGCTATGAGAAACATATAAGAGTAAATGAACCATTAAAATATTTTTATTTTATTTTAAATATGTTTTAAAGATCATAACACTAAATTTAATAAAAAAAACAAACAAACAATAGCAACACTAATACACTGTTTCTCAAATAAGAGCACACCTCAAACAAATAATCTTTCTGCTTTAATAATATATATTTTTAATATACTTAATACTACTAATTAGTTTGTGCCATAGTATGCACCCGATTTAACATAATAACAGACACGGCTACAAAGTGTGAGGCTTCCGGTCTCATTCGCTTCCAGTTATTTTACCTGTCCTTTATACTGCTTTACTTTGCAAACTGGTATTTTGTTATTGTATTATTTTAATGTATTTATAATAATCATAAACTCACCATTTACTGCACTTTGTTATTCTTCTAGTTTTTTTTTTTTTTTTACCTAAAGCAGCTAATGAACTGGAAGTCTCACATTCAAATAAATTAGCTAACGACCGCACTGCAAAATAGGGTGGATAATGGATAGAATGATTTCTGAATGATCATGTGACACTGAAGACAGGATCAATGGCATTTTAATATTTCACAATATTATCGTTTGTACTGGCTTTTTTTCCCATCCAGAAATAATGTTAATTGTATATTGGATAGATTCATTCATTTTTATTTCACAACTAGAGTTACGTACAGTAACTATTGTTCCCCCAACCTCACAGCCATGATAAATAAGGCAGAAACCTGCAAAAATGAACTTTATGTGTCATCATGAGGAGAAATGCTCTTGTTGTGTTCAGGCAGAAGGAGAGCTCTTCTGAGCACATGCTGAGTAAGTGTCATCACTCTGACTTATCTGACACTAAGTGTGTTTGGACCTGGGTTTGCCATACTAAGCCAAAGAAGACAATGATAAAGAAAAAGAGCATCTACAAAGAAAGGAAACCATCTTCCAGGCTAGGACTATTTGAATGTTTGGCTACCAGAGAGGATATCTTATAATGAATGATTCATCTTTAAAATGATGTGTTATGTGTGGGAAATGAAAGTGAGATCTCCAGTTCTGTCAATTCATGCCGTTATCTACCAAATTTTTACAAGCAGTGTGGTGCAGTTACAACTGCTGTGACCGTGGCTGACAAAGTTCTTACACAGCACAACTGACGTGTAATGAAAACGTACACTGTGCTTCCTGATCATTTAAAAGATGTTTTTAACACTGCTGCCTCTATGTGATAAACGCTAATGACAGCAAGAGCAAGATCATTTTTAGCTTATGACAGAAATTATTCACACCTCGAGAGAGAAAAGGGAACATTCGCAAAACATGTCTGAATGATTGAGTGTACTGTTTGCGTCAGGATAATTGCTTTTCAGTGATGAAACAAAGCAATCTAGGGAGGAAAATAAACAGTGAACAGTTACCTTCATTGCTGCCGTATCCTTGACCAAGACTGAACGCAGCTGGCCGTTCAGTTCAAAAAACACCTCTCTCTGACCTGACTTGTTCAAGTCACCCAAGGCCAAGGCTTTGATGTGCAACGTTTTCCCTCTCTCCAACTCAACCTGTGAGAGGTAAGAGCAAGAGTCATAAAAACATAGCAAATAAAAAACATAGCGAATACAGTAGCTACTGTAGGCATGAGAAATTAAATGCAGTGATTGAGCTGAAAAAACAAACAAAACCGGATCGGAACACAATTGGCCAAAAAAACCTAGGCAGAATTAAGGTAGATTAAGGGACGAGTGATTAGCACAGGCCTCTGGGCACAGGCATTAGGTCTGTACCATGTGCTGTTTGGCTGTGGAGGGGATGCTATTTTCTGCGTTCGCCTCAGTGACAGCTTAATATAGCTCATGCTAATCAGCCACGACTAACATCTCATTTGGACAGCTCTACTGGGTGGAGAAACACGCCGCCAAATAACTTTAGTCCCTGAGAAATTTGCGATTACTCATGTTATCCGAGGAAAATCTACTTCAGTCTGAAAGGGTACAGAGAGACCTGGTTTGAAAAAGAGATGCAAGTGAACTCTCAGTCTAACAGATCTGATGTGTAAAATGACTCTGTAGGTAAGTTTGTTTCACTTCCTGTCTGGCTCTTGCTCTGTCTCAGAGCGTGATCAGCTATGTGAGTCCTGCATCTGGTGCTCTCAGTTCTCGTGGTGCCTGCATTAGGACTCTGAGACACATTCATGCCTGCCAGGTAACACCCACTTCACTCATAACTGGGTTTTAGGAGCCAAACACACGGCTAAGCTCCAATCAACACATTTAGAAACACCGTAGGGCATAGCTGGATAGGGATGCAGTCGTACCAGTTTGAGATTATTCATAAACTAGCATGGATAAAGCTAAAAAAAAGTACTCTAAACTCTCAGTTAAATTAGAGCTGTAAAATAACATTTATATTTTATAAAATATACATTTTAGACTTCACAAAGAGAGCCTAGATGTTCAAAGTAATATATTTTGAACACAAAAGAGGCATGCTATTCAATCTTACTATGCTAATCAATTTTACAACCAGTCACAATAAAGTGTGCTAATAAACTTTGTGAATGTGGAGGCTAGTTGAGGACACAGGAAGTCTAATTTTGCAAATCTCCCGGTGAGAGAGCAGTCAGGCTCTTGGCTAAAGCTTAAAAGGTCAAATCCCATAGTGTTATAAATTTAACAGGGTGAAATATAGCTGAAATAACTTAGTACAAGAAATAAGGCACAGTGAAAAATACACAGCTCTGCTAATACGTTTAACATACCCCTTGCAGCATATGCAAAATGTTAATAATTTTAATAAAATGAGAAGGATCATAAAAAATGGATGTTATTTTTTAGTACTGTCCTGAATAAGCTATTTCACATAACAGATGTTTCCAAATACACTACTCCACAAGACAAAATAATAACTGAATTTATAAAAAAGGACCCAGTTCATAAGTTTACATACCCTGGAATCTTATTACTGTGTGTCATTTCTGGATGATTGACTACGACTGTTTTTGCGTTTTGTGATAGCTGTTCATGAGCCCCTGAGCAGTTCAACTGCCCATAGTTCTTCAGAAAAATTGTCTAGGTCCTGAACACTCTTTGGTTTCCCAGCATCTCCTGCATATTTGAACCCTTTCCAATAGTGACTGTATGATTCTGAGATCCATCTTTTCACAATGAGGACAATTGAGGGACTCACATCCAACTATTTCAAAAAGTGAAATAATTTACTGATGCTCAAGAACACAATGCATTAAGAGCTGGGGGTGTAAACTTTTTGAATTGGATGAACGGGGTAAATTGTACTTATTTTGTCTTCTGGGAAACATGTATTTTATGTACTTTCTGAAGAGCAGTACTAAATGAAAAAATATGATCTCTAAACAAAAAAAGAATAATGTACACATCATCCTGTTCAAAAGTTTACACCCTCTGGACAAGGGCGTAAATTTCGTCTAACGACCATGCCAAATTAGACAACTTCAAGCTGTTGTGGTCGCACCGAGACAGCGCTCGTGTCCGTTGTAGACATTACTATCCGTCAGACAGGTAACGTTATTATTGCTAACATAGCAGACTCATCGAAAAATACATTGCCATCATCTGTATTAAAGAGAAAATAATCACTTCATCCAATATTTAAGTGAATAAAATAGCCTTGACAGCCTTGGAGTTCCACAATTATTGACTTTGTTCTCTCTCACCAGACTGTGTGTGTTGTGCAGGTGATGCAGGGTTGACAGGTTTTCGCAATAAAACCCACCCAGTTGCTACTCAATACTAGCCCAAAACTATTCCAATCGCGAGGGGTTCCTCCGGTAAAATTTGCATGCGTTATTGGGGTCGCTTCAACCCACGGACATGAAAAACAACCCGCGGCAACAGTGTTAAAGTAGCCAATTTCCGCTGTAAAACCGCGGACTTGGCAACACTGCGGTGATGTAAAAGAGGAAAGCAGGCATTTGGACCAAAGCACTGTGAGGCAAGGGAGGGGGAGACTCAAAATATTTCTAAACTTAAAACGCATTATTGCCCCGTTTGCGTTTGTGTTGTTTTACTACTTACAAAGTTATTTAAAGTATAAAACGTTATTTACAATACACAGCGTGGTTTTTAATCATAATTTTAGGGGGGACAACCCTCAGGGGTCCTGTCCCCCCCCCGACCCCCCGGGATTTCCGCCTATGCCTCTGGATGTAAACGACACACAGATTCATGGGTATGTAAATTTTGAACAGGATAATTTTTTAAATTAAATTATTATTTTGCCTTGTGGCGTATATGTAAACAACTGTTATGTGTATTCGCTTATTCAGGACAGTACTAAATAAAAAAAATCATGATCCCACTTATTTAGTTAAAAGTATTAACATTTTGCATTTTGGTATGTAAACATATGAGCAGAATATGAAATATGAGCAGAAAATGTAAAAATTTATAAAAAGAGACAAATCATTGAAGTCAGTTGATGTAATTGTTGATGTAAATGTAATTATTGTGACGCACCTGAAACTCCTCTGCGATTTTGGGGCCATCCAGAAACAGGCGAGTGTTAAGGCAGTCCACTGGGCCAAAGTTTGATGTGAACTCTTTGAACTCCTGGAAGACTTTAGGGTACATGGCTGCCGACATCACATCTTCAGGAGTTATTTCATTACCATGTGCCATTCGCAGATCAGACTCAAGAGCCTCGAAGTCCATCGGTGGAAGTGAAGCCCCTGGACGACCTTCGATACGAGGCAATGCCTTGAGCACCTTTGAGAAACATCAAACTTGTTACACCCGGAAAAAAAAAAAAAAAAAATCTTTAGGGGTACAGCAGCTTGTCACTGGGGCAGTGCCTTTAAAAGAAATCTTTGTATTTTATTTACCCCTAAATGGTTCATAGTAGGGTACATATTACTACTTTTAGGGTTAGATAAGGTACAAAGTTGTCTCTTTAAAGATACTACCTCAGTGACATACTGTTGTATACCTAAGGGTACAATATTTTTGCATTTTTTCCTTTTTTTTTTTGGACAGCATATGGGCATAAACTCTGGTTAAACAATCAGATTACCAGCAGAACACAACTTCACTAACCCTTAAAGAGAGTTCACCCAAATTGAAATATTTGTCATTATACAAACCCTCCCTAGATCTTCTTGACATGTTCATTAGAATTAATGAAGAAGCAGCAATGTCTGACTTGGGGAGCAATTATTTTTTTTTTTTACTACATTTAGAGCTCGACACAGTCACTTTCCTGATTCACTCTCATGATATGGACAGTGGCAAGGATATTCTAAAGAAATTCCCCTTAGTGAAGTGAACAAAGACGATTTTCATTTTTTTTATTATGGTAACACTTTATGATAACGTTCAGTTGTAAGTAATTTATAAGTGATTAGTTAATGATGAACTAATCATTTACAAAACATAACTATGTGCTCATAAACGATTAATAAGTGATATGTTAATATTTTTATCTATGTTTTGTAGATTAAGTTATAAATCATTTACAAGTCATTAGATAATGATGAACTAATCATTTAGAAAACATGACTATACGTTCACAAATGATTAAGTAATATGCTAAC